AGATATTTTAGATATTTTATAATTGCCCATATTCTTCCTTTTGTGAGCTAATAAGTCTAATTTCCTGAACCATTCCATGGAAGGCTTAATTTTCAGTCCCCTTACCCTGATCTCCATCAGCAAAGTCAACAAGAAAGCCAGCAATTAGATAGAAGTATTTCCATAGGATGGCTAGATCCAAATTGCAAGGCTACCACTGGGTGGCAAAGCAGAACTTCGGAGAAATATTACTTTGCTGCCATCTAGTGGACACCTGGAGTGTTGTCAACAGAATGTATAGAATGTTATTTTCTCTGGTCTCTCTAGAGATGGTAGAAATGGAAGCTGGGGTTCTTTACATGAAGCTTTTGCCTTCTGCTTCTGCGCTTCTTTGTTGCTTACTTCGACTCTGTCCTCCTAAATCCTTACACACAACAGAAGGAGAGTGAGGTTTAAATTCAGGACTAGAATATAAATAAATAAATATTAAATAATCTTGGGAATTCCGTAGAGATTCTTAGTCATCCCAGGTCATGGTTATCCCAAAGGTGCTTTTTCAGGATGTAACTGGACTTTTTTTGTTTTTGTTTTCTTTCAAGACATTTTGCTTCTCATCCAAGAAGCTTCTTCAGCTCTGACAGGACAGTCGGGAATGGAAGGATTTATATTCCTTGCAGACAGCTGGTCATTTGCATCCTTTTTGTGGATCCTTGAAGCACTTGGAAGGTTATCTGTATCCTTAGGGTCACCTGAGTAGTGTTCCCTGGTTCCTGTAGTCTGTAAAAAAATTCCAAAACACTGCAGACTGCAGGAACCAGGACCACCACTCAGGTGACCCTAAGGAAACAGATAAACATCCAAGTAATTCAAGGACCCTCTAAAAAGGATGCAAATGACCAACTGTCTGCAAGGAATGTAAATCCTTCCATTCCCCACCATTCTGTCAGAGCTGAAGAAGCTTCTTGGATGAGAAGCAAAACATCTTCATAGGAAAAAAAACACAAGAAGGTGAAAAAGCACTTTTGGAAATCTTTATTAATTCTTCATAAACATTTGAACTTTCCTCCAGGGGATCAAGACCACATACAGATACATAATCCTCTCCGGATAATCATAATTGAGCCTGGAATTGCAGTCATAATCATCCCCGTTGTTGAGCATGCAGCTGCACCTAATTTTACATTTGTTGTGGTGGTCATTAAGCAAATGCCACTGTCATAAAGTAAACATTGTTTGCAACACATAAAGCAACACTGTTGCTAAGCAAATGTCATGGTCATTAATGAATGTCACAGTGGCTAAGGGGATCCATTGTTGGCAAAAAATGTAAATTGCAGTCTCATAAATGCAAGCCAGTCACCGAATGCCCAAAATGCAGTCATGGAATTTTAAATCCAAGTCGTAAGTAGCCCTTTGGAAGTAACTTCAAATGGTCAGTAAATGACCAGTTGTAAGTCGAGGACTACCTGTACATGTTTTCTCCTACAACAACAACCCCATGAAGCAGGCTGGGCTGTGAAAGAGCCCCAAATTGCTCAGTAAGTTTCTATTACTCAGGAATGGATCACAAGCTGGGTCTCCCAAATTCTAGTCCAATGCTTTATCCAGTATATCATACTCAGTGGTGGGATTTAATTTTTTTTTTAACTAATGGTTCTGTGGGTGTGGCTTAGTGGGAGTGGCAGAGGAAGATTACTGCAAATTCCCATTCCCTCCCCACCCCACTAACCTGCTTTCCAGCTCCATTCTCCTGTGCAGGGCAACAAAAGAAGACCCAGCCGATCAGCTGGAACTCAGGAGGCAGAGAATAGATGGGGGTGGGGACAGACAGAGGTGGTATTTGCTGGTTCTCCAAACTACTCAAACTTTCTGCTACCGGTTCTTCAGAACTACTCAGAACCTGTTGAATACCACCTCTGATCATATGGTATTTGTTATAGATGATAAAGATTAACCTATTAGAATTCTCAACTTGAAAAAAGTTGTTTGTGCAGAACCATCTCTTTGACCATACTGGGCCAATCAACATCAATTGTAGTTGACATGTTACTGAATTAAAGCTATTTTATGTTGAAATATTCTCATAATTCCCAGATTTTGGGCATGGGTACCATTGGTTCTGTAACCCATCCATGCACAAAAAATGGGGTCTTAAAAGATTAGAGAGGAAACGTAACCTGAACAACCTTTAGGAGGTTTTGCTAAATCTCCACCTTTTGGAGAAGCCCGGGTAGTGCAGTGGCTAGAATGAAGAATTGCAAGCTAACTGCCCACAGCCAGGAATTTGATCCTGACTGGCTCAAGGTTGACTCAGCCTTCCATCCTCCCGAGGTCAATAAAATGAAAACCCAGACTGTTGGGGGCAATATACTGAGTCTGTAAACGTCTCAATGAGGTCTATAAAGCACTATAGAGTGATATATAAGTGCTGTTGCTATTGCTAAATCAAGTAGCAGAAAAAATAACCTTGGTGGATCCCAAAAATAGCTCAAGAACAACTGAGGATGATCAGCAGGCACAGAATGTTGAAGTAAATGAGATGATTGGAAATGGAGTAGAACATCAACAAGGTATGACTAACAGCCTGAAGTGAAGCACTATGTGTTACAATGTTTAATTTCAGATCTTTTGGGGACATCCAAGTACCAAACGGCAAGAGATAAATGAAGAAAAATGAAGAATAGTTCCTCTGCATATTTCTGCTACTTCTGGCTGGTCATTATTGGAAACAGATGAACTTTGTTATGATCTATCAAGTTCATGTTTTTTATATAAAAATTCTTCTATATTGAGAAACTCAATATGCAACTGCATTTTTTAAAACAAGGAACAGCACATCAACCGCTTTTAAATGCATTAAAAGAATTTTCATCAACAATTTAAAATATTTTTCAGCAAGCATTTAATCATAAACATTCAAAGGATATTTTTAAAAATGGGTGGGATCAAATAATTGCTCTGAAATGCAGGGCATGTATTCATATCATTGCAGTATAATTTATAGTACATTCTCTCCTCCCCTTAATTTAGAATAATCTTCCTCTAGGAGGAAAAAAAAAGTCCTAAAAAGCTTGGGCATAACATCCCCAGAACTAGAATATGGTTGGAGATGTGTATTCTACTTCATATAATAACAAAGCGGTCCATAGGTTGAAACTTCCATCTAAAAGCTACATAGATGTCCTTCAATATGCACCACCATTCTAGTAGAAGTCAGTTTTGAGCCATTGTGAGAAACAGAATCTATTTGTGGGACAAGCTTACTGAGAACAGTATATCTAAGATCAAGTTTAAAAGTGGGAACTAGGATTTTAAATTCAGATTGCTAAGAAAGAACATGTTTGGGATATTAAATAAAATCTAAAGAGGAATTAAAATAATAGTAATAAGAAAAAAGGTTAGAAGTGATACACAAAGAGAGTGAAGAACATATTAAAATCTTAACTCAATGGAGGAAATACCATCAAGGCAATTAACATCTGGGCAATTCAAATCATTAGACACACAGCTGGAATAGTGGTCGGGACTCAAGCAGAATTAAACCCTAGCTACGAAGACCAGAAACAGTGACAATGATATATATCCTTTATTCTTGCAGCAATGTTGACAGACTCTACTTACCAATTGAGCCCCGGTGGCTAGAGTGCAGTTTTGCAGGCTAACTCTGCCCACAGCCTGGAATTCAATCCTGATGGGGCTTCTGAGGTTGGTAAAACCCAAATAGTTGAGGACAATGTATAAGCTTAAGTGCTGTTGCTTTTGCTACCAATGAATTTTCTTTTTATAAAAAGGATCAGCACATCAACTGCTAGTGGCACAATAAATTGGTGGGGTCACTAATAAATGATTCAGCAATTGGATTATCTTTGTCCCTTTTTAAAGGACTAATTCTTTGTCTCATCTCTCGTGCATTCAACCTAAATGGACATAGGTGAGTTTGGAATGTTGCAAGGGCATCAGATGGTTGAACAGGGAAAAAAAAGAATTGGAAAGATATCTAAAGGACAGGGAAGAAGATGCACTGAACCTAGCATGCCAGAAAAACTTACTGAGTACTGGAGAGACCAAACTAGCCTACAAGAAAGATCAAATGAAGAACAGAAAGGAAACATGCGAGCTAAAGAATTATGTGGCCAGCATATACAGTATGTTTAAAAAATAGCAGGCAAAGCAGATAATAACAAGACCTGGTAATGACTAAGAGCAGGAAACTCGAAGAAAGAGGCAGAGGGGCTAATGTAGAAGATCAATCCTTAAGAACAAATGCATACAAAGCCAGAATTGAGAAGATAGCAACAGACAGCAAGCGTCACCTCTGCATAGAAGCCGAAGAAATAGTGGACCACCTGGTGAGATGCTGCAAGAAAATTGCACAAACTGACGATAAACAATGGCACGACAAAGTAGCAACAATGTGCATTGAGAGATCTGCAAGAAATACCATTTGGCTGCAAGCAAGAACTGGAGGACCATAAAATGGACAAAGTCATAGAAAATGAAGAAGCTAAAATGCTCTGGAATTTCAGAATTCAAGCAGATAGGCACCTGCCACATAATATCCTAAACCAGAGGTCTTCAAACTTGACAGCTTTAAGACTTGTGGACTTCAACTCCCAGAATTCCTCCTCCAGGCATGTTAGCTCAGGAATTCTGGGAATTGAAGTCCACAGGTCTTAAACTTGCGAAGTTTGAAGACTCTTTCCCTAAACAATTATCAATAAGAACCACAGAAAAGTGTGGATAGTGAATGTGGCAGTACCTGGAGACAGCAGAATAGAAGATAAAGAACTGGAGAAGATAATAAAATTCAAAGGCCTGATAATAGAAATAGAATAATAGTGGCAAAAGAAAGCAAAGGTGGTACCAATAATAATAGATGTCTTGGGTAGTAATCCCAAAATAGCTGGAGCACCACTTAAACACCATTGTGTTGACGAAATCACGATCAGCCAATTGCAAAAGATATTTTTTACTTGGAACAGCTTACATTCTGCAAAGATACCTTTAACACCATCAAACCTCAACATCCATCTATCCCAGTCCTTGGAAAGGATTTGATAGGTGAATAAAAATGCCAAATCCAGTCTAAACATCTGACTGTGCAGTGAACCCTAACAATAATGTAATGTGTTGGAGCACAAGAAAGCTTAGATTTACTACTTTGGAATGTGTAATTATCACTTTGAAACCATATTAAAAAAAAATGAAATAAAGACCAGATTATAATCTTAAACAAAAATTAGAAATTATAAGCTTAAACAAAAATTAGATTCACATTAAGCTCCTATGAAAGTTGGTTTGATCACTATTGTCATATCACCAGCAGGCAGCAGCACACTCACAGAGATGACAGTTAAATACCTAAGTAGAAATTTAAGAACCCAGCGTGTAAGAACAGCAAGATATTGGTATGCAAGACCTCAATGCTTTTCACTAGGAATTTTGATTACTGGAAAACATAGAATGAAATTTTACTGGAACGCAAGTATTGCAGAATCTATTGCTTTGTTTCGCTTTATACTGCTCAAGTCATTATGGCTGTTAAACATGATCGGAGCAGGACAGAAATCATCGGTCATTTTTCAGTGTCCAGCCTGAATATAAAATCTTCAAAGGCTAAGAGTCTCATTTCTATGGCTTGTAGGAAAAATAGGCTTAAAGGACCTATAGTCCTTAATTTACGACCGCAACCGGAATCAGAATTTCCATTGCTAAGCAAGGCAGCTGTTAAGCAAGTTGTTACTGATTTTACTATCCTGTTTTGCCACGGTTGGTAAGCAAATCACTGCAGTTGTTAAATGAATCATGTGGTTGTTAAGTGAATCCAGCTCCCCCCATTGACTTTACTTGTTGGAAGCTGGTTGAGAAAATTGCAAATGGTCCTGGGATGCTACAACCCTTGTAAATACATGTATGTATGTATGTATGTATGTATGTATGTATGTATGTATGTATGTATGAATTTATGTACACACAAATATATATATACACACACACATACCGGTTGCCAATCACCCAAGTTTTGATCACATGATTGTAGGGAAGTTGTGTCAGTTATAAGTACAAGGACCAGTTATATGTCACTTTTTTTCAGTGCTGTGGTAACTTTGAATGGTCATTTTTTATGTTTGTAAGTCGAGGTTTACTTGCTATCTATTTTGCATCTCAATTTGGGATTTTTCTTTTTAAGTAGTCACTCTTCCAGCCCCATCTTTGGAGAGATATCATTTTGTCACTGCCATTTTCCTTGCAAACCCTGGAAGTGCAGCAAAATTGATTAAAATAGTTTTTTCCCCCATGCTTGGTCCTAAAGAACCGGCATCTTCGGAATGGTTTCCCAACTCCCTTCCAATTGATCTCCTTAAAGAATAATGACCGTGCAAGGGAAGGTCAGCAGAATTAATATAACCTCTCCCCGTTCCCCGGTTCCATCACTTCCCTGTCTTACCCTCAAGTGATAATTATGGATTTCTTTTATCACTCAGCTCATCCGTTCTGCTGGCTGGCCATCTCTTACTTTCTTCCTGATACAAATGAATGCAAGAGCCAGAACTGAAGCTCACTTTATCCAGAGATGAAACAAAGGATAAGGTTTGAATAATCACAGTGTTCCAATATTTGAAGAGGAGCCACAAAGAAGAGAGGGTCAACCTATTCTAGAAAGCACCTGAAGGCAGGGCAAGAAGCAACAGATGGAAACTAATCAAGGAGAGAAGCAACCTAGAATTACGGAGAAATTGCCTAACAGAAAGGACAATTAACCAGTGGAACAACTGGCCTCCAGAAAGTGTGGGTGCTCCGTCATTGGAAGTTTTAAAGAAGAGAGTAGATTTGTCTGAAATGGTATAGGGTCTCCTGTTTGAACAGGAGGTTGGACTAGAACTCCTCATACCTTTATAATTCAGCAATGCATGCAGACCAGAGGTGGTATTCAGCAGGTTCTGACCAGTTCTGGAGAACCGGTCGCAGAAATTTTGAGTAGTTCGGAGAACTGGCAAATACCACCTCTGACTGGCCCTGCTCCCATCTATTCTCTGCCTCCCGAGTCCCAGCTGATTGGCTGGGTCTTCTTTTGTTGCCCCGCACAGAAGAATGAGCTGGAAAACAGGTTAGTGAGTAGGGAGGGAATGGGAGTTTGCCACATCCACCAAGTCATGCTTCCCATGCCACATCCACCAAGTCATGCCACACCCACCAAGCCACGCCCACAGAACCGCTAGTAAAAATTTTTGAATCCCACCATTGAAGCAGAGATAGCGCTGGCAAAAGGGTCCTAAGCTGGAAGGGGTTATCCAATTTAGATCTACTTAATCGCCAGTTGTTTTTGGTATATAAATTAGTTCTCCTTCCCTTTATTTTCATGAGACGTCATATTAAATTTTTTAATGATGGCCAGTGACCTCTGTTAACCTGTGACTGCAGGATACAAATGTGGATCATTGCCAGCCCCAATCCTAAATGCAGCGCATGGATGTGAATATTTTTAACTGTTCTCTTTGCTTTTGAACCCATGCTGGCAATTTTGCCCCTGGAGAAATGACAGTGCCAAATATTACAGCGCCCTGAAGAAATAACAGTTTCCCTGACGTTTCTTCCCATCCACCCACTTCTCCTTTTCTCCGGTGTTGCTTAAAGCCAATCTCAACCCCCACCCTGCCTCGGCCGACAAGTCTTTGAGCTATTAAAGAACACGATGGCAGTCATTTATAATAGGCAAGGTTACTTAGCACCATGAATCAGTTTCCTCCCATTTTCCCCCCTGCTCAGGGGACAGTTCTGCTGCGGTAAAAGAGGCAACTATAAAAGCCAACACATTATTGCCTTCAAATCGTAAAATGGTGCATTATGAGATGCTGTGAGCACAGGCCCACAGAAACCCTCAAACAGCAATGAAACTTAGGTCAGCTCCTGATGCTCTTCATGGTTACAATGGTGCAATGCAGCTGCTTTTGCAAGAGAAGACAACTTTTTGGATCAGAGGAACAGAAGAGCAAAATTGCAGGTCTCTCCCTCTCCCCCTTGCCTGTCCCCAGATATCCATGCCTCCAAATTTTCACAAATAGTGAGCTTTGACCTAGCCCATTGGTTTTTTTTTTTAATGGCTGCTTTCCCAAAATGTCCATCACCCCATAAGGACTGAGGAGTTATATTTGTGACCCCAGGAAGAATCATCAGTCACATCAAATGGGAAAACAATCAGTTGCTAGGCAACTCCGCCATGCACGCTCTTTCTCCTTTAAATATGCACAGCAGTGGAGGAAAGATCAGTGGTGGAGGGACAGATAAGAGAGGAAACCTCTTCTAACGATCCAACCACTAATTTTAAGCTCTTTGCTGTCTTTCCAATAAGTGCTATAGGTACCTATTTATCGCTTGATGGACAGCGGGGTTACAACTGAGCTTTCAGGTTGAGTTAAGAACTTTTCTAGAAGGGGTTGAATGCTTACAGACTCTTTCGATAGACACAATGCCGAGGACACAGATAAGGTGAATGAGTGTGTGCAATTTTAAAGTAGGAGCATTTGGCACAGCTGCCGTCTTATCATCCACTCATAAACATCTGGAAGACTAAGTGAAATTATTCAAGATAGAAAATAGAATGTATATTCTTGGACTGATGTAAAGGCAACTTGAGGTGTCTTTGTTTTCTCTTCCATTATTTACTCATGGTTTCTCACCCTTCAGTTCCGCCCCAACTATAAGGAATGTCCCATGGATCTTCTTCAGATCTGAAAGCATGGGGCAGTAGGGTGACTTTGGTGATAGAATAGAATAGAATAGAATAGAATAGAATAGAATAGAATAGAATAATAGAGTTGTAGGGATCTTGAAAGTCTTCTAATCAATAGAATGGAATGGAATGGAATGGAATGGAATGGAATGGAATAGAATAGAATAGAATAGAATAGAATAGAATAGAATAGAATAATAGAGTTGGAGGGACCTTGAAAGTCTTCTAATCAATAGAATGGAATGGAATGGAATGGAATGGAGTAGAGTAGAGTAGAGTAGAGTAGAGTAGAGTAGAGTAGAGTAGAGTAGAGTAGAGTAGAGTAAAGTAGAATAGAATAGAATAGAATAGAATAGAATAGAATAGAATAGAATA